AGCATGGGAAGAACGTCGGGCCCCTCGCTGCATATGGCGTGTTTCAGCCGATGTCGGCAGCGGTGAAGCGATCCGCGCGGATCTCGATCATGTGGTCTGAGCGGTCGCAGGTGTCGCCGCCTTACGGCACACGGCTGACAGGCAGAGCCATCTGGCGGCGCAAGACTGAGCTACTGTCCTCTAGTGACGAACACCCAACACTAAAAGTCAACCAGTTGTGAATGGCATTGTTGGTGTGATGGAGAACATCTGCGACCAGAGCCAGCCTTAACCTTGAGTTTTGTCGTTACCGCTTCTGACCGAGTCCGACTCCGACCCACAGTCCGTAGGGATGATCTGATTCTGACTCCCAGCAGCGCGGTGAAACTATGAGCCGGCTCGTATTTCGATGAAAACCCAACTCTATTCTGAGAACAAATCGGAAAAGTCTCGACGACCGTGACAGCAGTTTGGAATGCAACGTGTTCTGTGGCGTACATCAAACGACGAGCGGCACACACTTCAACTACAAAACGTAAAACGTGTGCTCATTATTCCACCTATTGCTCATACAGGTCGTCAAAGCGAGAGCAGTAATTGCTCACGATATTCAGATTTGAGTCAACCGTTCGGACCGCTCGGAACACACCAGCCCCTTGAGCTACGGCTCAGACCAATTTATCTCAGAAATCGACTGCAGCGCGGCCCACGGATAATTTGGACAGTGCTGGAGTAAATTGCGCTTCCACACAGAGTCGAGTGCCAGCCTGGATGACCGGCAGCCGATGCCACCCATGAGCAAGTTATGTGCCGCTTTTGAAGCATACGGATGACACCGCACGCGACTCACACGAGCAAGATTCCGGGAGCATGGAAGCATTAGTCAGGGGAGCAACAGCTTTCAGTTTGCTTTTATCCCGCAGGAAGAATTGCGCTACATTCTTCCAGTGCTACAGCGGGGTAGAGGGTGGGGGACCACGCACACCGTCTTCCCTCTCCTCTCCAAACATCCCAATGGTCCATCGCTGAGCAAACAGGGCCAAAACGACGCGCAGCCGAGCCCCTGAGGTCCCATCCCCTTACAGGAGACGATCCCATCCCCGAACAGGAGACATCTGTCAGGGCTGCACCCCCCCGGGTGACGGAATTCTCCCAGCCGCCGACCTGCGACACAACGGGAGGTCCTTGCGTTGCCAGACTTGACCTTCTCCTTCTCTGCGTTTTCACTGTTGGACGACGTGGCATTGAACGCGGAGTGCCAAACAGACCCGGACAGAACAGCGAACGTCACTCCAGAAGGCATTACAATGCAAGTTCCTGAAGGCGTTTCCGAGAGAACTTGCAGTTATGGGGGAACGGGTGCACCGGGCGGCAGTATGTTGTCAAGAGCTGGGCGCCGCAGTCTGACGGGTGCACCGGGCGGCCGTATGTTGTCAAGAGTTGGGCGCCGCAGTCTGACGGGTGCACCGGGCGGCAGTATGTTGTCAAGAGTTGGGCGCCGCAGTCTGACAGGTTACCGGGGGGCCGTATGTTGTCAAGAGTTGGGCGCCGCAGTCTGACGGGTGCACCGGGCGGCCGTATGTTGTCAAGAGCTGGGCGCCGCAGTCTGACGGGTGCACCGGGCGGCCGTATGTTGTCAAGAGTTGGGCGCCGCAGTCTGACGGGTGCACCGGGCGGCCGTATGCTGTCAAGAGTTGGGCGCAACAGTCTGACAGGTTACCGGGCGGCCGTATGTTGTCAAGAGTTGGGCGCCGCAGTCTGACGGGTGCACCGGGCGGCAGTATGTTGTCAAGAGTTGGGCGCAACAGTCTGACGGGTGTACCGGGCGGCGAAATGTTGTCAAGAGTTGGGCGCCGCAGTCTGACGGGTGCACCGGGCGGCCGTATGTTGTCAGGAGCTGGGCGCAACAGTCTGACGGGTGCACCGGGCGGCCGTGTGTTGTCAAGAGCTGGGCGCCGCAGTCTGACGGGTGCACCGGGCGGCCGTATGTTGTCAAGAGTTGGGCGCCGCAGTCTGACGGGTGCACCGGGCGGACGTATGTTGTCAAGAGTTGGGCGACGCAGTCTGACGGGTGTACCGGGCGGCCGTATGTTGTCAAGAGCTGGGCGCCGCAGTCTGACGGGTGTACCGGGCGGCCGTGTGTTGTCAAGAGCTGGGCGCCGCAGTCTGACGGGTGCACCGGGCGGCCGTATGTTGTCAAGAGCTGGGCGCAACAGTCTGGCGGGTGCACCGGGCGGCCGTGTGTTGTCAAGGGCTGGGCGCCGCAGTCTGACAGGTTACCGGGCGGCCGTATGTTGTCAAGAATTGGGCGCCGCAGTCTGACGGGTGCACCGGGCAGCCGTATGTTGTCAAGAATTGGGCGCCGCAGTCTGACGGGTGCACCGGGCAGCCGTATGTTGTCAAGAGTTGGGCGCAACAGTCTGACGGGTGCACCGGGCAGCCGTATGTTGTCAAGAGTTGGGCGCCGCAGTCTGACGGGTGTACCGGGCAGCCGTATGTTGTCAAGAGCTGGGCGCCGCAGTTTGACATGGGAGCTGACGCTATTCGCTGCAGGAAAGCCTACCATGTCGCGTTAACGGCCTTGCGAAGACGGTAGACATTGGCCCTTGAGGAAAGGCAAACTAAACACGCCTCCATGTGTGTTTCCGAGCAAGTTCTTCACTATTCACGTATACTTTTCGGGTACTTCATTTTCGAAATAACTGAGAATGTCCTCCAAGTCCACATTACCCATCTCACGAGACGCATGCGCTTGAAAGCGTGCGAATTCGAGTCGCTAAACACCAATGAATGATATGCATACGATGAGTTTCATGAGGGTCAGAGAGGAGACACAAAACGCAGGAACAACGTGCCAACCGGACGCCTTTCCCTTCAAACACTAGCAGCCGCAAAAAATCCTGCGCCAAGAGAGCCGCATACATCTCTAAGGGGCTCCTCCTTCGCCGAGCTCCAACGGAACCAGATCCTCATCTCCGGTCCGGAGCCTCCCCGGAGATCCCGGACGACGCTCTGGGAGGTGGGAGCCGGAGCCGGAGCCGGAGCCGAAGCCGGAGCCGGAGCCAGCTCCTCATCCTCGGTCCGACGCCACTCCGGAGACACCAGGCGACGTCCCCGGAGGTGGGAGCCGGAGCCGGAGCCCGATCCTTATCCCCGGTTCGGAGCCACCCCGGAGGCCCCGGACGACACCCTCGGAGGCGACTGGACCGTCCGCGCACTGGCCGATCGCTGGGAGCACGCGCGACGCCCTGCACGCGATCGAGGGGAGCGAACACGCAGCATTCGGCCGGCCGGCGACCGGTGGGGTCCTAGCCACGAACACGGCCACGCCAGGGGTGCATGACGGACTCACAGGCCAGCACGCGACATGTGGCACACCAGACCACCGCAGCATGGCATGCGCACGCCGTATTCACAACAGCGGCCGAGCTCAGGGGTGGCAGCAAAGAGTAATGATTGATTGGGCAGGAGGGGGAGGGGGGGGGGGGGGGCGGATGGACGGATATTTCCGGTCCATTCCTAGTCAGGAGCAGCACAAGCATGCTTCAGCATAACCGTGGACGCGTCCCCCGGCGCTGGCACCGCCCTTGGGTGTAATGACAGGCACACTTACAGGCGACCTGACTGGATGAACGGTTCGTAACAGACCGCCCACCGTAATATGCCGGGAGCTCTGAGTCAATTTGCAGACGCACATAGCTACTGACAATACTTTGTCCCCCACTTACTATTATTTGGTATGGTTGAAATAAACCATTTGCAAAACAGACCCAGAATAGGTAACATTCTTAATGTAATCCTTTACGCTGCCTGTTTGCAGCAGTTTATCAAAACGACAATGGCTCCTATATATATTATCCTCGCCAGACCGTTCGCCAAACTTCACCATACCAAGAGCCCAAACAACATGAGCCCGACTAGGTCGTCGCTGGCCGAGCGGGGCGGCCTGCGCCAGCGCGCAGCGCCGCGGGCCCATAGACCCATTACACCTGTCGACTAACGGCCCCGACTGCCAGCGGCGCACGAGCCTGTGGGTACCTGGCGACCGGACGGCCGGGGCGCCCGCCGGTCCGGCCCCAGACGGGCGTCACCGTCACACATGCGCGCTGCGCCGCCGCGCCCATCAGCGCACACTGAAGACTTGACCGCTCTCATTAGCCGGCGCAGCTGTGTCCGCCACCGCACAGCTGGGCGTATTACACAGCGCGCAGCCGTGCGCATTACACAGCGCGCAGCTGCTCACGCCATGCCCGTAGCACATGTCCACCCTGGCGGCAAGGTCAGCGCCGTGGGATCGGACCAGCTCGGACCCAGCTCAGCGACGCTCAGATTCAGAACTCCTCCCTGTCCTATGCCGCCCAGTGGCCTCCCCTCCCAGCACCCTTCGGTCGGCATCTCCGAGTTGGTAATTGGGAAGCACGCTGCGCCCCGGGGTGTTTGCTGTTTGCACACGTGCTGCGGGGACCCACTGGTCGGGAGACGAGGCCTCTCTGGGTCACACGTGGCCAGCGGTGACCCGGGGGGAACGGAGCCGATTGGGAGTGACCTGGTGTGACGCGGGCAGTTGAAACATGACCCCACCTGGGACGACCTGGTGTGACGCGGGCAGTCGAAACATGACCCCACCTGGGATGACCTGGTGTGACACGGGCAGTCGAAACATGACCCCACCTGGGATGACCTGGTGTGACACGGGCAGTCGAAACATGACCCCACCTGGGATGACCTGGTGTGTCACGGGCAGTTGAAACACGATCCCACCTGGCACGACCTGGTGTGACACCGGCAGTCGAAACACGACCCCACCTGGGATGACCTGATGTGACACGGGCAGTTGAAACATGACCCCACCTGGGATGGCCTGGTGAGACATGGGCAGTCAAAACACGACCCCACCTGCGATGACCTGGGCGATCACGCTAACCTGACCCGACATGACCTGGTCAATCGGGGACGACCCGAGACCTGCCCGACCAGGGGTCACGCGGGCCACGACCCGGCCGGTGGGTGGTGCGGCTCACCTGGTGCAGGGCGGTCAGGCCGTCCTCGTTGGTCGAGTCGGGGTCCACGCCTGACTCCAGCAGTCGTCGCACTGCAACAGGGACGCGTCCGTCAGCCACGTGATGACGGTGTGATTGGAGTTTGCAGGCGCGCCGACGTCGGAGATTATTTTGCGCCCACTCCCGTCGTCCGACCACACCCTTGGGACGGCTGGTAAGGAGCGATACGGGCGGCTGGGTCCAGTGAATTCGGTACAAGTCTTTGTCAGGGGACAATGGGTGCCCCCCCCCCCCGTTGAAATTTTAAATATTTTGCACCTTGAATCAACAAAAACTGTTGCCGTTCGTACTGTCCAAAAGGAGAGATGATCCATTTCTTTTTTGGTCTTTCCAAGCGTACGAACTACAAATCGTCCGGAGAAGTACGGCTTTAGATCAAATATGGCAAATCGCGAAACGCGTACCGGCAACTAAGGTATTTGCGAATGCTTATCCACTTGCGACCTACTACGTCGTACAACTTTCGCCAACTGTATCTAAATGCCGACTTCCTCCAATGTTACTCTTCGGCAAGGGGTGAATCTGTCCCCTACCACGGACGTCCAGTAGTCACTTAAGTAGTTTTGACTACGGCACAGTAAGTAGATACCCGAACATTATGGTACAACAAGACGATGCCGGTTTGACTTCCGCCGGTAGTTACAACACGCACTGACAGCGGTCGCATCCCCTGCCATGTCTGCTAAAATCACACCACGATCAGCACAGTAACCTCGTGAAGACCCCACTCGCTGTGTTGTGGAGAAGCGAGAGCTTCAAAATCCGGCCGACAGCGCCTCGCACTCGGCAGCTCGCCGTTAGTAATAGGACAACGATCGATCCAAGCACACTTCCGAGCCTTCTTAGTCCGCTTATAAGCTGACGGTGCCCCGGCGACGCGGCCGACCGACGGACACGGACATGTTTGTAGGCCGCTGGGACCGGAGCGGCGCTAGGGAGGATTGGGCACGGATGTTCCGCCGCGGCGGCTCCAATCATAGCAAGACACAGATCCATCATAGCGATCCAAGACACCAGAGCGATCATAGCAAGACACAAGATCGCGGGTGTTTTCGCTAATGATTCGTGCGATCTCCATCGGGATATCTGCGACGAACGTGGTTGGTGCAGCACGGTTGGCTTAACCAAACCCACCAGCAATTTTTCAAACCGAGAGCGGAGTGACCAACAGCAGCGCCCGAGCCGGACGTCAGCGGCGGTTCAGCCTAGCCTCAACAGGTGACAGCACCCTCGTGCCCTCGGCCGGACAGCACGGCGCTTGGAAGCACGCGGGACGCTCCCGCCCACTACATTCCACAGATAGGTCAACTGTCGAGAGTCGTTGACGCATCAGTGCCACTGCCACTGTAAAACAATAAACCGACCATAAATGTGTTAGCATATCAGTGAAAGCCGTGTCAACGATGGCGCAAACGACGCGTTTGCGGCAGACCCTATAGGTCGCTGTTGAATTCCAACGATCGTCCCAACAGAGCGGCGACAGCCCACATTCCAAACATCATCGTCGAAGCGTCATCGGCGAGCCGCCGCTGAGTGACAGAACTCGTTTGTCAAGCATTACGTAGGATCAGGCTCTGTCATTTCCCCAGCTAGCGCCCAGCAGCCGGCTCATAATCTAAGACATCGCGGCCGTCAGCTCCAGAAATTGGTCGCCTGCGCGTACATAATATGCATAGTTTTGTTTGCGTTAAGCAACGACTGCGACAGCAGGGCATTTCAAAACGTTGGGGGCACACTGAGATACTAAGGCCCCTTCTTCTACACAACGCCCACAGGCTCCAGAAAACGAGGAGGAGGATGGGGATGGGGTGGCTCTCGCACCGCCCGTGCCTCTCCAAAATACGGCAAGCTCGGCTCTCGGCCGACGCTTGGGTGAGGCGCCCGTACGCCGCACCCGCACGTCACAATCGGGCGCCATCCGAGATTGGCCCATTCCGGCTGGCAGCGTCGCGCGCATGCAAAGCCCGCCGGCGATCTGAGCGCCTGTCGGCCCGTCAGAAAACACTCTGGCGCCGCACGACTGACGCCTCAGGACGCCCGGCCGTCGGCCGCCCCGAGCGGAGACGACGCGCGGCGCACATCGCCGCCGCCAGTCTGTCTGCCGCTTGAGATAGCGCCGGAGGCGGGGGTGGGGGCTTCACCCTGGCCGGCCCGCGAATGCTCGCCCCACAGCCGCGGCGGCTATCCGCAGCGGCCTGGTGTAACAGCAGAGAGCCGTCGGCCATTATTTACGGGACGGGACGGCGGCTGATTCCAGCTCGCTTCCGCTTTCAAAGCTTCGGAGTCAAATTGCTTAGATTAGTTTGATCGATGCGACTCATTAATCTTGGCTGGTCTATAGGATCGCGAAAACAGCGGGGGCCTGCATTCAAAGCCGCGCGAAGGCCTCGCATATAACGCTACAGGGTGTTTCATTTGAAATGCAAATTTCAAAAAGCCTGTGAAAAACGCCTCCACGTCGCAAACGTTAACAACGCCTCCACGACGGTCTCTTGAACACCACTGCACTGCCCCCCCCCCCCCCTCCACTCCAGCATTACCCCCAATTGCCGATATCTTGCAAAGATGTGTTCAGTCGCTGAACGCCGGGAGCGAAGGCCGCCATCGCTAGCTCCCCGACCACAAGCAATGTGTAAAGGACACCAATCTAGATAATTTTCAATAATTTTCCACAGCATTTTCACATACCGTGTGCTTGGCTTTTTCAGAATCCTTCGTTGCATTTCGAGTGAAACACCCGTATAAGTACGAAGGGCCGGAGGGCTGATGACACTCAGACTGCGGTGCCATCTTTTTGCGCACAAACACAACACAATAAGGCCCACATCCGCGCACATTTGGGCGCAATCACCAACAAACCACGCAAAACAACGAACAAGCGGAGAAAGAACAGACAAACGCCGACATCCAATCAGCACCCGGGAAATCAGCCGGGGGTCTGGCTACCACGGCGAGTCCGGCGGCCTTGTACCGGAACCGACATCAGGCGCAGCAGGCGCCCCTGAGGCCCCGGCTGCCATCACTGCCCGGAGACGTCAGCGGCCAAACGGCTTCAGGCGCAGCAGGCGCGCCTGAGGCCCCGGCTGCCATCACTGCCCGGAGACGTCAGCTGCCAAACGGCTTCAGGCGCAACAGGCGCGCCTGAGGCCCCGGCTGCCATCACTGCCCGCAGACGTCAGCGGACAAATGGCTTCAGGCGCTTGGACCACCTAGAGAGCCGCGTTCCATTCCCGTGGAGGGAAACTTCCCAATGGACCAGTGCCAAAACGGGGGCGGCAACGCGGCCATAGCCCCAGCACTTGCACACGTCGACCAATGAGCCAAAGCCACCACTGCACCAGAGTAGCGTCCGCCCTCGGCCGGGGTGGTGGCGGCAGCTCCCCGGCAGGTCACCCGGCGCCGGTCGGCCCAGCGGATCGGGCGGCGCCCCGCCGGCGCTCGGTCGCGCTCGTCCATCATGGCGGGCCTTCCGCGGTCTATTCATCACTGCCACTTCCAGGCGGCGGCCGCTTGCAGGCCGGGCCGGCGGCACACGCCCCTCCGCCGGCGGCAGACGCCTATCCGCCGGCGGCATACGCCTTTCCGCCGGTGGCAGACACGCTGGCGCGGAGGTGCCTCATCGGATGTGGACCGAGTGGTCACGGGCCGCCGGAGCCGCTCTACGGGTGCAGGAGACGGCCGAGGGGGGGGGGGGGCGCCCGCGGGGCAGCCCGGTAAATGGCTACCCCCCATGTCCATGGTGGTCATGCCTGGGCTGACTGGACACAAAACAACATGTCATGATCTCTCTCGCCGGTTGTTTGCGTGAGCCAGCCAAAAACGGCCCGGTAGCCAGGCTTGAACCCACCATCGGCCTTCCGCCGCCGGCGAGCGCTCAGTAAGTCTAAGCGCGTCCCCAGTCACTGCGCCTACCGGACTGCGTTATTCAGGCTTCAGTTACATATGACTGAGTGTTGACACGCACAACGATGGGCGGTGTCATCGTTCGGTTAACACGTCGGAATGAGTCGCATCCGATGAGGTTCTTAACATCACACCAAAATAACATTCTGGAATGTCACAGTAAGCGTGTGAACAAGTCGGGTCCAATCGACAATTACCAATGTCAAGGCACATCGTCTTTTCCTGTCCTTTGCTCACATAACAGAATCACTAATGGAGATGCGTGTAGAAGTGCATGTTAAACGATGCGATAATGATCCCTAACGATGCACAAAAACGATATTTGGAGCAAGACGATAAGCCCGAAGTACATTACTTCTGATGCTTTTGACACTTTGCTATGTCATTGCCACAGGTACACTAACATCACGGAAGCCAATGCATTACGAAACCAGAACCGGACAGGATACGTATGGCAGAAATTATATGAGTTTCGCAGCACATACATGAAAGCATACAATTGTATTATTCCCAGTATCATGATGCGATGGCGTAAGCGACACATTTAAGTAATTTACAACATGGCTGATCACATACCAGAACCAACAGGTCAGTCAGGTCAGGGCTGTTAGCGAATGCGATCTGAGGGATCTTTCAAACTGATGCGACAAGAAAGCGATAGGCGAAGTCCCACAGCTTTAAGATTGTTTCTTAAGGAGTTAGACAATTAAAAGAAGCGTTGCGACTAATTCAATTGCTTTTGGACCAGATGTGACGATCAAGGCAAAAACCGAACTATGTTTTTACTGAAAAACTTGCTTTGAGGTAAATTTTGTCGCTCACTTCGAATACGCTGATCATCAGGATGTCAACAGGTTCCTCATTTTCACTTCATCAAGGTCGGTAAGGTCACTTACCTGAAATGACCTTGATCAACCTTTGGCTTTGTTGATAGTGATGATGGGAGCTTTAGGGCGCCGACGTCGGAGGTCATTTGGCGCCCATGACTATAATTACACACGACGCCTTCTATTTGGCTTTGAAGTGAGTGCCGCCCGGGGAAGTTCTTGACACTGATTGTTAATTCATTTCTCAAAACAGTCTCCAGAAATTTAGCTGATTTTGACATTCTAAAAGCCAGATAAGGATA